CGAAACAGAAATGGTGTTATAGTTTATGGGGGTAATTAAAATGACAACTGAGGTTCCTAATCGTAAGAAATGGTACATTTGACAATATCTAATATACCACTTGCACTTATGTATGATTTATTTGATTAAGTAAAATACCAATAACAAATTCATTGCTTAACAGAACAATATAAATCGTTGAAAACAGAACAATGTTAGTTGATGCTTAACTGGTTTGGTTGTTTAGATGAACTTAAAACAGAGTACAATAACTTGGTACAATAATTTGTAAACAATAACAGTAGATAGAGTACTTCATTCTTACATTACTTGGTACACCATGAATCCATTTGCATTACCATACTACCCAAATTACTTGAATTACGATTTGAAATACAATAACACTGCAATTATTAAAATTGTAAGATCGATCTTAACGATGTTTATGTTTTGGTGCTCCAACACCTTCACCCTACGAACTACGCCCCCGATGTTGTTCGGTAGTCCGTCCTTGACAAGGTCGGAATCAACGGCCCATTCCCAGTAACCGCAGTGTCAACATTTATAATACGGCCTTTTCGGATTCATTTCAGACATCGAAATGCGGAATTCGACGAGGGTAGCATCTTCCCCGGAGCAATTGCAGATTTTTGCAGTGATCCATGAGATGTCAGCAGATGCACAGGGTCGACGAATTACACGACTCCCCGAAGAGGCTGATGACATTGTTGACATAGTTTGTGGAGTACCACTTTGCAAGCTTCTCACATGAGATTGTGTATGAAAAGGGAATGGTCGGAGCTAGAAATTAAGGGTGAAGTGTGACAGGGAATCCCTTTGGTAGAAGGAAGAAGTATATATATAGGGGTAAATGATCAATACCACAAAGAGCGGGAAAGTTGTTGTTCTTTGGCGCCTGATTTTTATCGGAACCCTACATTTACCGAGCTCAATTTTGACTGTTACCATTCAGTACGGCACATATAGTGGGACATTTATCCCTTTCATATGTACCATTACGTGGACATTTCCCTAATATGGTATATTAAGTCAGAACGTTTATAACATAAACACCATATCGTCCAAAATGGTACAATAGTGACCGTTAAATGTACCACTGCTTAAGTGGTTATGGTTAGGGTCATTGAGATTAGGGTGAATACAACATGTTTAGGGTATTATTATGAGACCTTATAGTCCCTAAACATGTTTTTAGGAGTAGGGTAGAACATTGAAGCACTAAAAATTGGATTCCGATAAGCGACAAGCATAGAGTGCGTACTAGTTGAATAACTACCTAAACAAGGGTTGATGGAAGTGTATGTTGTGTTACAAAGTAACTCAATACAAGGATAAGATAGTGATTCCGATTCGTATGTGTTTCAATTTAAGGTAGACGTAACTCCATCCTCTACCAAACCACCAATGACTCGTAACGCCATAATATCTACTAAATAAACCTCCAAACCATGGAATACTCGAGCTTTTTTGTGAACTTCACAATTTTAAGCACACTAAGTCACTACCCAAAGGTCCTGCAATTTCTACCATTTTGTTACATAGTGGTACAAAAAATCATATATTTTACACCAATTATATAGAAGTGGTACAATATAGAATCAAGTGGTACCCTAAATGTGTTTCCCTCTTAATGGTACCCTAACAAAATATCGGTGTACCACATCGTCCGAAATGGTACAATAGTGACCGTTAAATGTACCACTGCTTAAGTGGTTATGGTTAAGGTCATTGAGATTAGGGTCAATACAACATGTTTAGGGTATTATTAAGAGACCTTATAGTCCCTAAACACGTTTTTAGGAGTAGGGTAGAACATTGAAGCACTAAAAATTGGATTCCGATAAGCGACAAGCATAGAGTGCGTACTAGCTGAATAACTACCTAAACAAGGGTTGATGGAAGTGTATGTTGTGTTACAAAGTAACTCAATACAAGGATAAGATAGTGATTCCGATTCGTATGTGTTTCGATTTAAGGTAGACGTAACTCCATCCTCTACCAAACCACCAATGACTCGTAACGCCATAATATCTACTAAATAAACCTCCAAACCATGGAATACTCGAGCTTTTTTGTGAACTTCACAATTTTAAGCACACTAAGTCACTACCCAAAGGTCCTGCAATTTCTACCATTTTGTTACATAGTGGTACAAAATATCATATATTTAACACCATTAATATAGAAGTGGTACAATATAGAATCATTTTGTACCACTGTAACCTGGATTTTTCGTAGCCAAATCACCATGAGTCATTCAATCAATCGTATGCATTTATTGGTGAGTCCTTCCCAGCTCGTAGGGGGTTCAGCTATCAGGACTAGGGGACAGAGATGTCTTGTCATAACAAACACAAGTACCCAGCTATTGGTATAATATATGAAAGCTTATGTACTAACTTTACACAATATGGAGACCAACGGGATTTTAATGTACTACTGTAAAATTTTGTATCCAATCTTTTATCCCTTTTGACTTTGAGACTTTAATTACGGCAGTAGGGGAGTTATTTTTTGTAGTTATTATCCAACTAACTACTTCAGAATTACACTCTTGCATAAAAAATAACTATTTATTGTGAGGTGAATGAGTGGAATGCAGTGGTACAATATTGTATGAGAAAATATAGTTATATGTAACAATTTATTATTTATCTACACTAGTGGCACATTTAGTCTTCCACTGGGAATTATATAAATTGTTTTATTTCACAAAGTAGTTGGATGGTAATTTATTGAGGCTTTAGCAATATAAGACACGGTTGCAGAGGACCAACTTCATACATGCCTAGCTAAGTCAGTGCATACAATATTTTCAGAAAAAAAAATTAACACAAATGGGGAAAAATAGGAGCAAGATAGTGTTTGCTGCAAAGGGATTGAGTGATGAAAAGAAAGTGGCTACTCGTAAGACCCCAAGGGGACTTATGAAGCGTCTGGATTACATGAAAAACAATGGCCATCACGATGCTAACGGTGTCATTTGAGACTTTTACCTCCCTAAAAGAGGTAAAGAGATTATGTGGTCACACCAATCCGCGACGATAGCTCACGGTGGGCTTCAAAATCCCATTACAAGGATTGATTTCCACCCCGAGTACCCATTCCTCACGCCGTTTAAAATAGGAGGTCCCAGAGACTTTCGCAAAGAGGCGTATTGTTTCATGCACTACCTTGTGGATGCTCACAAGATTGCGGTTAGTGTTAACCTCAAAGATTTCTATGAAACAATGATAGATTGTGTGCGATCTTCGTGGTACTGCAGGCATTGGCTTCGATTTTGGGAACTCTTTATGAGTTACTATGATTGGGCTGCAAATGTGGAGGACATGCTCAACAACCACTGTAAGGAAGGTGAGAAGTATTGTCTTCTACTACTTGGCCATGATTTCACGTCCGACTATGATAAAGGCGTGGTTCATGTCACTGTAGAGTGGATGAATTTCTCGCACGAGGATCCTTATGAAATGATCCTTTCGAGCGAGGAGCAATGCATGTATTTTAGGAGCAAGATGTTGGCTGAAAATGGCTACGATGAGATGGAACACTTGGATCTCATCACTAGGGAGCCCTTTGAGTATGATGACTACCCACAGTGGTATGTCTAGAGGTTGAAGGCGGCGAAGCAAATGTACGATAACAAGGTCAATCCGGATTCCGGGGAGTTTTGGGACGGACATGCGCCTGATTCCTGCTAGTTCTTGCATTTGCTTTCTAATGCTTTCCGTGTGGTTTTATTAATGTTATGTACTCTTTTAATTCCAGTGGCACATTAAACTCTCTATAAATGTACCATTTTTAAATGTCCTGTTGTACCATTAACTTAGAACTAAGTACGTTGTTCCATGCTGACTTTGAACTAACAGTAAAAATAGCAACAACAAAAATAATGTAACAAAAGAATTGTGTCTGCAAATGTCAAATACGACCTAATTTTAGTGCAACGTTATTGTCACTAGCAAGCACTCCTGCTTTATCTCAACAAATGGTACATTAATGTGTGTTCAATATGTACCACTGGGGTAATGAATACAGCTTATATGACTCTAATTCGGATTGGACCTTCCTGTACCAGGAGTAAATCCAAGTAGACTAGCTAACACCCCCCCCCCCCACCAGAGTTTCTACCCCTAACAACAGTAAAATAACCAACAGAACCATCCAAATCCCTCATTTGTATACCTCCAACCGACCGCATGTATTCATTCGTTAACACCGATACACTGGTTTGGGTTTGGTTAGCTTGCTTCTTGGAAGCATTTTTTGCCCTAGCAGCTTTTTCTTTGCCTTTTTTTCTGTGCATGATGGGTACCGCGAATTTGTAGTACGGTGGCCTTTCTTCTTCGGTAATGGTGGATCTTTAATCCTCCCCGAGGCAGATGCTGCGCAACTGCCTTGGAAACCACTTACTGGAGTTGAGGTGTTTGGCAGATCGGAACCAACTGTCACTAGCGTGGTTGTGGGATGAGGTAGCTTGTTCTGCGCCACAGAAGAAGGAGTCCCAGCAATACCTCCACCACCTTCTGCAGGAACATCATCTGCATTGGCCTTAGCTGCCTCTTCCTGCTTTTTGGCAACCATTGCCAACACTTCATCCACTCTCAGGTCCATGAGTTGCAGCATTTCTAACACAGCCTGAACGGCCTCAATACATGCACACGCCTTCAAGCAAATTGGTTCACAAGTCCCCATAAGTTTGTGATACTGCCTCACCTCTTCAGTTTTAAGTGGATCATGATAAGCTACTTTTACACGTGTGTGTTTACGTTGAACGTCCTTTCTCCAACGACGAAGGATGTATTTCTCAGGAACAATTCCCACACCACTAAGGTCATAGGCCAAGATCATATGTCGACAAATGATTCCATGACACTCAAAGTGTTTACAGTCACAAGTTGCTTCATATGTGGTTCTATCAAACAAAAGCCTATAGCATCTCCGAACCTTTGTCACAGACTCTTTCTTTGCATTTTTTGGCTTGATCCAAACACGCTCCTCCATTACAAACAAAAGTCCGTCTTTAAATGCCTCATGTAGCGGATCGTATTAGAGTCAGCAACTCTTTCGGCCTCAGCCCTTATGGTCATAGCATCACAGTAGCGAAGCACAAACTCAGACAAGGTTGTGTTCTTGTCAACATAACCTTTGAAAAAATGATTGAAGCTTTCCGAACGCTGTGTTGTTTTCATCCTCGCCCAGAACAAATGTTTCAAATATACTGGGATCCACATCTCCCTTTCCTCAAATAGACCTGCATGCATCATATCCAAAGAGGAAATCAGTAATGCTAATAATGGAAAATAGCATCTGCCACCTTAGTGGTACAAAATAAATGCCACCTGATTTATTAAATTGCAACCAGCACATACAGTGGTACATAATAACACAAATGCATGCAACAACACAACACTAAAATTGCTTCAACCATGTTGCACGCACAATCACCCAAACTGCAAGTGGAGTAACCGAGCAAGCTTAAGGGTAGATCAGCTTTAGCAACCAACAACCATATACCCAAAGCAGTAAAAACAAACAAATCACATAAAGTTGATACCTTACCCTTCAAGCCAACTGTTTTCTTGTAGTTCATAATACTCCATTGCATCTATCCAACGAGCTACAAATTCTTCTGCATCTAAACTACCGTATATGATATTCTCAAACTCATCCTTCACAGCATCATATTGCTCATGCTTACCCACGTACTTCCAAAACTTTTGAAGGATGTGCCAAATGCACCACCTATGACAAGTGTCACGCATGGTTATATGCACAGCTTTCCTAATAGCCGGATCTTGATCCGTCAGGATCGAGGTAGGAGCTTTGCCTCCCATGCAATGTAGCCATGTCCTCAGCACCCACTCGTAGGTCTCTGCCGTCTCCCGAGAGATCAATGCACAGCCAAACAGTATACTCTGCTCGTGGTGATTCACACCGACAAACAAAGCATAAGGAAGGTGAAATTTGTTCGTTAAGTATGTACTGTCAAAACAGACAACATCTCCAAACTCTTCATACGCAGCTCTACACCTCGCATCTACCCAAACAACATCTTGTAATGCACCATCTTTACCAAACCTACAAAGATGGAAAAAAATTTGATTGTCTGCACTCATTTTGTTGAAGTACTCTATCATTCCATTCTCATCACCCTCAGTTAGCTCAAGTCTTTGTTTTTCAGCAACTGCATTCTCCAAGTCTTTCTAGGTAAATGACATCTCATCCACCCCGTTCTTCCCCCTCGCAAAACAACTATACATCTGCGATACCTTTACCCTAGACTTCTTTGCATTACACACTCGGTTCACCAAGTGCCCATTTTTAGACATCAACTCATGCTTCCTGAACATTGTTACATCCTTTGACTTCCCCGGTGTGACTCTGTGACCTTTTTGCTCCAAGTGTACCCTACGAACAACCCAATTCCCTCCCTCATCAACACTAGCATACAACTCCACCTCACACCCACACTTTTTCGTCTTCCGCTTCACAACTGTTTCCTCATCATGCAACAACCCTTCCTTAAGTACATCTACTTTACGCTTCCTGGAGGGTCTTCCGTAGCAGTCACACGTCCACTTTGCATTCCTCTTCTGCTTACAAAACGTTCCATCCCCCACATCACTCTTCACCTTGTCAAACCCAGCAACAGCCCTCACTATACCAAACCCCTTTTGCCTAGCATAACTCCAAAAATAACTATCAACCTCATCCCAACTACCAAATACCATACCCACACTCGGGGCTGGTACTTCCTCTTCCACACCAAATACTGTGCTAACCAGTACGGGGTTCTTCTTCGGGGTTATGAAAGTAGAACTTTCTGCCACTGCACCTCCATCTTCACCTCCTTCCTCCTCTTCTACTTCCTCAGAATCTGACCACCCTTCCTCTCCCTCACTATCAGACCCCCATTCATCTCCATCATCTTCTGATCCCTCTTCAATTTCCTCCTCATCCCCTTCTCTATAACCATGCTCACTCTGAAATCCCTCCTCATTACCACATACAGCATCATCATCATCATCATTACCAACACCACCCTAAAACAATGACACACATAAAACAATTACATACACAACACCACCACAAGTAACTAAGAATAACCTATAATTTCAAGCATACACATCAATTTCAATTTCAAGCATACACAAAGCTTCAGAACAGAACAACCATTTTCCAATTTTCAGTTTAAAAATTTAACTACAAATGTTAATATTAATTTCAAGCAACTACAAATTTCAACATACACAACACACAAATCAACCATCCCAACACACGTATTAACCACGCCCAAATCAATTAATCGATTTACAATCCCAGCATCAATTGCTCCAAAAGTGACTTGCAATACCAACATCAATTCCTCCAAAATTGACTTGCAATACCAACATCAATTGCTCCAAAAATGACTTACATTTAAACAGTATGCCACCTAATTTAAGCACTGTCACATTCAATATCAACAATTATGTAATTCGAATTACCACAAAAAAAAAAACCCTAATTCAATTGAACTGTGTTAATTGTACTCATTCATGCATTAGATTGCTAAGTTAAAAAAAAAAAACCTCATGCAACGCAACGATCTACATAGGGTTTCGAACACTTACATTCTCACTATCAAAACGCAACTCCCTCCTTGCGCAACCATGGCCTTCTTCTTCCCGCAATGCTTCCGCTAAGTCAACTCCCAATATATCAACTAAATGATTTCGCATTGTCCAAATGTAGTCCAGATTTACAAATTAACTTCAATTTCGGTTTAGCTAGCTATAAGAATCATTTGAGATTAGGTGTAATATTGAAGCTTTGTGAAGCTGCTGAGTCTTTCTATTCTGCAAAAAGTAACTCTTTTGGGGAGTGGGGTAAATTTTGTTTCCTGTTTCAAAATTCACCCCCCGTTATTTTTTCTCATACTCCCGTTGGCTTTGAATCCCAATTGGCACTTTCAGGCCCCACTCATCAGTGATAAAGTTCCACTTATTATCAGCTTTGCCATCCTATATATTTGCAAACCAATAGTCCCTATGCGCCTATAGTTATATGTTAACTTTAATTACTCTAGTACTTTAGTCTGAAATTTGAATGTACATACATTTCTTTCCTTTGTCTTGTCACACGTAATTTTACAGTAAAGTTTTTTGGTCTTTTACATTATGGTGTGCATGTGAACTAAGGCTAGCTTCATCTCCTAACCACTCATTTTAGCCACTTCTGTTAGAATCATGACAAAATCTCATTCATATTGCCAAATTGTGCAATCAAATTACTAGTATAAATTTTACTTTATGCCAAATTTAATCTCTTTGTCTAAATAATCTTTGATCCTAATTTAGCTAACACAAATCTCTAGTTGGAAAGTCTCAATTTAGTTGCAATATACACTCTTTTGATAGGTTTATGAGTTTATCCTCTACTTTTCTCAAGAATTGACTTTTTTTTTTTTGGTAGGATCAAGAATTGACTATTCATTTTTACCTTTTTGCTACTTTTTCAATTTTTATTAATCAAAAGTTATTGAATTATATTTTAAGAGAAATTTACATTCATTTATCAATCAAGTATAAATCCATATTAAGAAGTATTTCTCACCCTAATCTCTTATTTCAAATTTATAAATTTTATTATGTTAAATTAATTAGAACCTAATAATGGCAGATAATTTATTTTGTTTATGGCCAATAATAATTAAGTTTGTAAAAATCCTTATTATTGGAATTGAGATTAGTTGATTAACTTAAGTTTAGAGTCAATACAAATAATCACTCAACCACAATAAGCTAGAGAGAATTTTCTAAAGGTTAACACATTCACACTTCATATAAGTTCAACTCCATACTTAAAAATTCAAAAGTGAAAATCACTTCATATTAGTTTTGTTAATTAATCATCGTATTGCATAAAATTCAATTGAAAAAAACTTTCAAAAAAATTGCACACAAAACACTTATCATCTAGCATTCTAGCCTAGTACAAGAAGGAATCTATACTAAAAAGAGTAGAAAAAGACCTTATCAATGATATGGACCGTATTATACAAAAGAGCGATAGCTTTTAGACCGTATATAGCCATCTTATGACTTGAATAAAGCCCAAAACAATATTCTTCGTCCAATGCTTACGTCATAAAAAAAGGTTAGTCGAAGAAGGGCCAAAGCCCAGCCTTTTGCCTTAGCCTAATGGTTCGGGTTGCGAGAGCTTGTTTAAAAAATTGAGATCATATTGTCTTTCGATAGCTTGTTAACCATGGTAGACTAGATTCTTAAGAAATACTCGTAGGTAATCCACCATTCGTCAACTCGTTGATAATAAACCATCACATTTGCATTTGTAGCAAAACGGTTGATGAAATAGTCCGAATACCCTTCATTTATTGGATAGGGTATAATAATACTTCTTTCGTCGCATAATACTTTATCAGCTACCCTTTTTAACTTAGTACATTGGTTAACATATAATTTTTACTTGAAGATATCTATTAAAGAAATTGCAAGACTACTCTAACAATATTTGATGTTAATTCGTAATGTTATTAAAACATTTATACCATTACTAACATACAATTTTTACTTGAAATTATCTATTAAGGAAGGATAGCTGCTCCTTTTTACTTCTCTATATTCAACTGTTATTTATTTGTTTACAAAATATATATCGGTGAATATATATAACACAATACGGTAGTAATGACATACAAAATACTTGTATAAATAGTGATTGAAAGATGAACTTATAAGGTTGCAACGTGCATGTTAATTTGTGTTTAGAAGACGTCAATTAAATTGATTGTTCGCAAAACCCTAGCTACATGCAAATTGGAATTAATTATTATAATAATACAAAGTTTAATTTTGACCACTTAGCTAGCTAAATATGACATGCATATTAATAATATAATATGCCAATTGTAGAAGGGAATTCACCGTCATGGTCCCAAATACCATACGTAGTTCTTGTGATGCAAATACTTGCTAAACCTACAGAATTAAATATTTTGATCAAGATGATTGCCAAAACTCAAAACTAGGGTGGTCCAATTTATCTATTGATTCATTTTCTTACAATTGGCATTCACTTGTCACTTAAGTGCGTACGAGATCCAAAATCTACATTACGAATTTAATTAGGCTTGCAATGTGAAACTCATGACAAATCTTTTAGGATTAGATTAAATGGTCCAATCTTAGATTTTTATTTCAAAATGTCTTCATCTTCAATTAAGAAAATCAAATTATGTATGTACGGATGTACCTATATATACCCAATATAGAAATTATGCGTAATTCTTGAATGTTTGGTCACACTGATATACACGGTAGAAAATGACGTTTTGGAACACAGTTAGACATATGTTCTTCAACGTCCAATTGTTTACACAATAAGCATACATATCACCGCTAATTAATAACCACTTTTTAATTTTTTGTTGTTAGTAGTAATAATATTGTCTACTTATCAAAAATGTCTCTTTTGGCTTTCCTACATCTAAAATTTCCAACTCAAAAGACATGATTAAGAAAGCTACTTTAAATTAGAAAATCTAACACCTATTCCAAATGATAATCACTCTATAATATGGTTGAATAATAAACGTGGGACCAATTATATGATGTAAACAAGGTGGAAATGATAACATTAATATAAATGGTCCATAATTGAACATATATCATCGTATCGTTACTATCGTATCATATAACACCATATTTTTATTATAGGGAGCATCATTATATATTCTTTACCCTTTGATTATATATCTTAGGTCTTATGATTGATAAATAACTTTATGATGTCCCTTTTTTTTAAGTGGTGCTTTTATTATCATTTCAGGAATAATTAACTTAAGAATATTAGCTTGGATTACTTTTTTTATTTTTATTTTTATTTTTATAACTACCTTCGTTAACTATTATTTGCCACAAAGGAATATTTTATATCTCACAAATAATACTCATATAACAATTGAAACTTAAGGGCTTGTTTGGCACCATTTTTGGTTTTCAGTTTTGTTTTTTTGAAAACTGAAAACCAAAAACAGGAAACAAGAAAAATGAGTTTTTACTTTTCTGTTGTCAGTTTTCAAAATTATTATGATTTTAATATGTTTAAATAATTTTCAATTCAATATACGACATATATCATATACTTTTAATAAACAAAAAAACAGAAAACCACAACAGCCAAACGAGCCCTAAACAATTAATTTTGATTTAGAAGTGGGAGGTTTTTTTTTTTTTTTTTTTTTTGACGGGAGATTTAGAGATGGGAGGCCTAACCCTCTTATATTTTTATCCAAGATCCCACAATATCCGTTTACTATAAAGTCTAGGGACCGCATTTTTACTATTCTGATAGGGCAAAGTAAAGTAAAATTTACGGCAGTAAAATTCAGAAAACAATAGTATCAACAATCAATGGTTTAATAACACATTGTTGCAGGACATTGAGTAGCAGAAAATGAGGGTATTTTGTTGCATCATCTCCTGTTTTTTTTTTACCCACTCTTTCTTTAAATCTTCAACGACAATTAAAACCCAACCCTGCTTCTCTGCTGATTTTCATCCCAGCCTTTGCCTTTCAATATATATATGCTTACTACTCTCTAGTACAACACACCATACACTATTCTATTCACTGTTTAGTTGTAAAATTACGTAATCTCTTACCTCTTTTTTTGTTCTATTTTTTTATTTCAACTAACTATTAATGATACTAATATGACTTGTATTTGTTCATGTTATATACTTTGCGTCTATTCTATTCAGCTTAATTTCAATTCAGTTTCTAATTTTCTTCTCTCATAAACAGTTCAATTCAGTTCAGTCCCTTCATGTGTAAATAATGTGAAAATTATTAGAGTTGAATGCATATTCATACATGACAAATTACAAGAACACACGAGTATACTAATTAAACTATTTGGTCGAAGGCGTTACGTTCTATGCTTTCGAAATTCTCTTCTACTTATGTTGCTCCCTTGTTACGTCAATAGCTAAAGTTATGCAAATAAAATGTTACAAATTCAACAAATAATGTACGGAGTACTCCTTAGCACATACACTTGTATATGATATATCATCATCAACATGATGATTGGTGTAAAGATTTTAAAATATTGACTTTGACTTTACATTGGACAAGATTAATTTCGGAAAATGAAAGTACGTGAAAATATAAACATTTAATGGGTGATGTTTGTACTAAATACTTAACTTTCAAAGAGGTCTCACATTTGCAATTGTTAACCTTTAGAGGTATAAAAATATCTACTAACTCCAAAAATCTCAATCATTTTCTTCCCAACATCATCTTCTAATGTTACTTAACCTAAAAACCAAAAAATATCTTGGGGGCTTAATTACTTGATCAACAAATCCCTAAACATTACTTTCTTCGTCGCAAAATAACTAAAAACAAGTAACTAATGTAGCTAGAAATACCATATTCATATCATACTCTGTAATAATTATCGTTTTCCAATTTCCTTATCATTTTCTAAGCATAAAAATTACTCCGTATTAATGTATTATAGAACAACAGTGCGACGTCCCGGCCAAGAAATCTCTAGTTAGCTAAACTGAGCAAAACTCACGCCTTGAAATAAAAAAGAATATAGTTTACGCAATATTTTAGTATACTTAGCAAGAATAAATAAAGATAATTGCCTTTTACAACACCCCAAAGGTAACGCACGAGGCATTCACTTAGGCAGAGAGAAAGA